CTACTCTGGTCCTAGTACCTGTAAAGCGGCAACTCAAAGACAAAGTGGCGATTTTGACAACGAGCGCGGCTGTGGGGGTATCTATTTCAACCCACACCTAACCGCAACTGCCCGTGGCAAGTCTCAGCTCGCCAGGGAGATATCGAAACATGTCGTTCCAAAATTCCATTTGGAAGGCACCCACTCATTCTCGGAGATTCTCTACCGCACATGTGCGAACAAGAAGCGTGGAAGGAAGCTGAAGTAGCAAGGCACAAAGTACTAGAACACCGGGAAGCCGTGCACGTTGTCAAGCTGTTCCCTCGAACATGATTTCCTCCAGAAATCGTCTCGGCATAACCCGTTGCGGATATGATTCCTTCAAGATACAAGTAATCTTGTACTAGGGCGATCCGATGATGGGAAACGAAGTGGCTAAATGCATGTAGCATAGACTCCTGGATATCACCGCTATCTCATCACTTTCACCCTCATTTTCGTCACCCTGACAAACATCATGGTCTTTTTCTGACCTTCATCACCACGTCATCGTGACCTTCTGAATCATCATTCTCACCCTGAACAGGACTGGCAGCAGCAACAGCGAAATGCCACCAGCGTCATGTTAACAACCATGAATAAGTATGAATAGGATTACTACCCCTGTCAGTCATACCACGATTGCCTATATACTCACTTCATACGGTAACACGTGTAACAGCATCAGCCGCTAGAACAATCTCAAGTACTCAGCAAGCCAAGGTTGGCCACATGAATGAGTGGGTGTCGTCCTGGATGGAACCTCGTCTGCCGATCAAGAACGGGGAAGCGAACGATCGGGCATGACCCATCGGAGCTTTGACGGGCTAACAGTCTGGATTCTATTCGTGCTACACCTGAACAACAGCTAAGTCTGCAACTCCCAGTTGTGTGGCGACGATCTAGATCGAAAGAGCAACCAGTGCTGCATTACAAGATCTTTCTACTCCTATGTACTCTGTCGACAGCAACTGCTACGTCTACATAAGACTAATACTACCACTGCCACTGCGACGACGACGACGACGACCACTACCTACTACTACTACTACTACTACTACTACTACTACTACCACCACCACTTGCTGCTCTTTCTATCACCACTGCATAGTACGTACTACTTGATGGCTTTCGCACATTGTTACGAACCACTCAGGACTAAATGTGGCAACAACTACTCTTAGACTAGTGTGACGAAGACTGTTTCCTACAGCTGCAAGACATCATCAAAGACGAGGGGCATTGTCAGACAGTCACGACTACCGCGACGACAGGTGCGGCTAGAGGTGCCACCACTACCACTGCCCACCGCGGCAACCCGCGCAAATGCTGAGATACTACTACCCTAAACCTTAAACCCCTAAACCTTAAACCCTGAGGACAATTACAGGAAAGCTCCGAGTGCAGTCAGGTCCTTCCAACACCTAAGAGTGACTTTGGACTTAGGACAAACACTGCATAAATCACTGGAAGAAGTCTCCACATCATTCCAACACTCTAGCGAGAAACAGAATTCAAGCCAAGAGTGTGCAAAGTGTACGATAACCTGCGTCAAGACTTCTTCCAGCGTCACCTCATATAGCCCACAGCCGGGTCTGACGGTGGTCCGCCCAGTAACTTCCAGGACCCACCCTTCCACCTCAAAAAGGGCTAGGAAAGGCTGAGCTGTATGGGGTTTAGGATTTTAGGCAACCCAGACCCCAGGCAGGATCTAGAAAGTAGAACCGCTACAGCTAGAGACATTCAGATATAAGAGTTCCTAGAACACTGAAAATCCCTAAACCCTAAACCTTAAACCCTAAACAGTTCCTAGAACACTGAAAATCTTGTGGCAGGTCCCTCTTTGCTACTGTTGAACTCAAAGGGGCAACGGTTGACGACAAGCGGAGCTGTGGGGCACATCTAAATGTTTAGGGTTTAGGGTTTAGGGTTTAGGGGTTTAGGGGTTTTGGGGTTTAGGGGTTTAGGGTTTAGGGTTTAGGGTTTAGGGTTTAGGGGTTTAGGGTTTAGGGTTTAGGGGTTTAGGGTTTAGGGTTTAGGGGTTTAGGGTTTAGGGTTTAGGGTTTAGGGGTTTAGGGTTTAGGGTTTAGGGGTTTAGGGTTTAGGGTTTAGGGTTTATGTCCCGCCACTAACCGCAAAAGGAAACGGCTGCCCATAGCAAGTCTCTGCTCGCCAGGGAAATGCTGAAACATATGGGAGGTTCCGAAAATAGGGGACCCTAATATAGTACCCGAAATAGTAGGATCCTTTTCGAAAGGACCGCAAGATGAGGTACGAGTACCCCTCATTTTCGGAAAATCCCATATCTTTGCAAGATTCCACGACATGACTTCAACGAAGGCACCAACCTGGAAGGCATCCGCTCATTCTGGCACATTACTGAAATACCATGACTGCGGCGACGACTATATCTTGCAGCTGAAAGCACATCAGCAAAGACAACGGGCACGTTCTCAGACTATATATATATATATATACACATACCGTTACGTCTAAGACAACTACAACCACCACCCCCCACAACACAACGACTATGACTCGACACGCATGCTCAAGTCTTCCGAAGACCCTGGTGATCAACTGAGTTCAAACATCGAGTGGGACTGGTAAAATGTACAGAAGCTTGATTCCAGTGTCGGGGCTTGAAAAGAGACTAAATGATGCCGAAAACGGCTCGCTTGACCTGCAAGATCCTGCAAGCTCAGAGCTACTTGGAGGTTCATGGGTATAGAACTGAGATTATTACAAGTCCTAATATAGGCTGTAACCACAGATATCCTACTTATAGCTCTACTTATAAGTACCCATGAACCTGCAAGTATAGATAGCCACGGCAGCTTTCTACGCGATAGTTCTGACTAACTTCCACAAATATCTTTTGACAGCACGCGTGCACTTGAGAACAAGTTGACAGGTTCTCCGACTCTGCCAAGAGAGCACGAGGGACATTGCACGTTAAACATCGCAAGACACTTGGTCCATGCCGGTGAGGCGGTGAAGCAATATTCTATACTTATAAAGGGAACTCCAGAAAGTTGGAAAATGGATTAATGGTAGGATCCCTATAATTTACCTTAAAGGGGTTACGATAATGATATTCCAACTTTCTGGCTTCTACTGTAGTGACGAGCCCCCAGAACCCCCTTCTAAATATTGAGGCCCTAGGTACAGCGTCCCAGGAACGGGTGTGAACCTCGAACCCTGGAGACCACAGTGAAGACCGGCACAGCCCTCGATGCAAAGATCCACAAGGGTCCGAGTACGAATATAGCAGCTACCTAAGAGATATTTAGAGACCAAGCCCTAAGGCTCTAAGGACTCAGATATTAAGGCTTTTGGGCCCAAAGACCATACTATGTAATCCTTTTGGGCCATTTTGAGCCTTAGGGAAAGTAAACACCATGCTATTAGTTGGACCCTTTGGGAGGTGGATCTGCGCTGCACGGATGCAAATATGCCGAGGCTTTCAGGCAAAACGGCATCCTAAGGTACAGCTGCTCCACGGTTTAAAGGGTTAAGGAATGAATGAGGTGAATCTAGAATTTAGGGTGCAGGGTTGTGAACATTCAGGAGTTAAGCGTCTTCACTATACCCTAAACCCAACCCTAAATCCTAAACCCGTCTGAAGGGCTCGAAGCAAAGTTGGACACGTCTGTGCTGACGTCCGCCACGCTCTGCTCTGAGACCTCCTCCAGGACAGCCGAAGCCACTTTTGATGAAAAAACCTGCATTACCTTGAGGACCCTAAACTGAGGGAATTATGGTCTATTCCTTATTCAAGTCCAATGTCTTTCCCACGAACAGCCCTCTGTCTGAATATCGAAACTACCTATAGTCTCCATTGTAGTTCCTTCTTTTGGTTAACCAAAAACTACGTATATTAGAGGATCCTAACCATAAAACTGGCTAATTAACAAAAGAAAGGAACTACAATGGAGACTATAGGTATTGTCCGAAACCCTAAACCCAAACCCCAATGCTATTTCTTGAGGCCCCCTGGATCCTTGGCAACTTTCAGGAGCGTCGCTTGCCGCACTCTCTTCTGGAGCATCCTCGGGTTCTGCTCCACGGCCGCCAAGAACTTGTTGAGCCTTGCTTTTTTTGTTTTTTTGAACTTCTTTTTGCTGAGTCTCGGGTTTAGAGTTCAGGGTATCTTGTGGGTATAGAGTTTAGGGTTTAATAGGGTTCAGGGTTTGGGGTGTAAGGGGTAAGGGTGTAGGGCTATAGGGTTTGAGGGTTAAGGGTTTAGGGTCCAGGGGGCAAAACACTCGAAGTAAGTACTCGAAGTAGTACTGGGGTCCAAGATGGTTAGAATAAGCAGGGCTGTCTTGAGTATCATGAAAACGATAATCAAACACAGTTGATGCAAAAAACTGCAGAATGGACAAACTCAGGTAGGATTATGCTAAAACGTAAGAGAAGTATGGTATAATGATGTGATTTGCGAGGCTGTGATAAACTGTGGGTAAGAAAGTAGTATGATATATCTTATCATATGTAGTATAGTGTGATATCACATCGTATACTCGACCATGGTAGAACAAATACAACCTAACGTATAGCTTGATGTAATTAATATCGTGAATCATGAGATGAGAAAATGAAGCACAAACACAGCCTGTAATATACTACTATGCATAAGACATAAAATCACATGTAGTATGGTGTACTACAAGAATATGATGTAAACACAAAGCAATACAATATGCTATAGTAACCAATCATCTTTCGCTGCCTTCTGATATCAAACACAACAACGAACCTTAATAAGATGCTATGTCATACTATAATGAACTAGCACGTCAGACTTAGATTCTAGTACAATGTTAGACTATCCTATGCTGTGCTTCACTACATTAGCCTATACTATTCTGAAAAATCACATAATCTAAAATCATGTGCTGCGATATTATCTGATAAGATATCATAATCTGCCACGAGACTGAGAATGCACAGTTTTGCGGCAGGCACCCGGACTCATCTCACAGCAAGACATGGAAAACGGTCCCGAGGAATTTTGATTCCGACTCGACACACTTGCTGATGTTGCATGCAAGCTGCTCCCTCACATGGCGGTTATGGGTACTTGCAAGCGGGACCTTAATTCCAATAGCACTAGCATCTCCGTCGCTGATGCGCATGGAACTGAAGCGGCGAAGTCCTTCCTGCACTTCTCAGGCGAGAGGGGGTGTAGCGTCCGATCCATATAGGAGCCTTAATAGTTAGAACAGGGTTCCTTTAAAGGGGTCCTTTAAAGGGCTGCTATAAGGGATCTATAAAGGTACTATAATACAGGGGCCTTCATAATTAGAAAAGAGTGTCGACGCCCAGTATACTATAGTTATTAAGAGAAACCCCAAAATAGTATAGTTAATTATTAAGGCCCTTATATTAAGGACACAGGATAATATACAGGAGCCAACAAGCTCATAACAAATGTATACAGTCGAACAAGAATAAAATCATAGATAAAAGTACTACAGAAATACAACTTAGAGATTCGTGGATATGTGTTCAACCTATATAGATATACACATCGGTTATATATATATATATATACATGTATACAGATAGACATATATGTATGTATGTTCATATACATATACATATGTATATATATATATGTATATACAGGTATAGATGTTTAGATGTACATGTACATATGAGCTATCCCCCCCCCTCCCCCCCTCCCTCCCCGCACCACCATATACCCACGGCTGTCTTCTAAATGTCGGCTTGAGGACGGCGTGGGTGACTGGGCTTGCGGGGCGCGCCTCCGCATCGCACCTTTCTTCCTTATCTTCAAGTACAAACGTCTCAGATAAAGTCGATTCAAACGGACTCAACAAGTATTCAGTTGGATACGTCTCGAAACCGCTTGGATACGAACTGCTGTGGATTGAAACTTGCAGATTGTCGTTCTGGTGACAGTCATCAGTTTGTGCTCTGTTTACACTGGTAGATCTGTGTTTTTTGAATTGCTGCTATTCAATACGAGGTCTCTGCTCGGCGTACATGTGTACACATGCGATGTGGTCAGATGTGAGTATAAGGTACTTGCATATTGCCAAGCAAATTCGATGCAACTCACCCTCGTCCTGTACAAAACTAGAGACGTAATCTCTGCTTGGAGAAGTTACCATGACGAGTCCAGTTAGTCCACTTCAACGATTGTTTTCGTCTTTCTATCAGTTCCGGAACTCTTCCTCTGTGCCAACGATTGAGCCTCTACTATGGGAAAACTAGGCTAATACGGAAATGCTTATACTGGCTTAAATTGCACACTTCAAAAACTGATGTATAAGTCATGTCGACTTCTGTCTGCATGAAATGTTAAACTGTTGTGTGCTCATGTTGATACGGCATGCCAAATGAGATAGAATGGACATGACTTAATTTAACTGATGCACAGACTCAGGATTAATTTACTCAGAAAAGTACGGAAGCCTTGACTAGTAGAAAAACCAGGGTGCAATAGCGATCACAATCGACCACATAACAATCACAATCGACCACTTAGAAACAAAAATACACTTTAACAATAATGTCACAAGCTACCAGAACATGTTGAATTTTCTCTGGTTTTCACCACAACGATGCACTTTCCCCAGGTGTTTAGCAGTGGTTTAAGCGCAAGTAGGTGAGCTGACTAAGCCAACAATCTATTGAGAGCGTGACTATTGTATGTTGGTAGGTAATGCAAGCAGCACAGATGTGAAGATTCGAACACAAGTAGCTGGTAGGTTAATATTCATCTGAATGTGAAAAAACATAGTTTCATCGACGAACATGTACATATACTTCGGAAATTTCGGTTAATACTAAATCGCATGAGTCACAGCAGCTGAACCTTGTACCAAGTACCCAGAGGGAAACAGGGGGGTAATGGACGCAGAAAAACAAGTCAAGACATTGTAAGAAACGAGCAGCCCCGAGTGATAGCTAGAAATATTACAATCAAACTACGCTTGGTACGATGCATGAGGCACAGAAAAACATATTGGCGGTTTAGATAATTATGATTCATGATCGAGAATGGAAGTGGGGAGTGGATAGGTTTGTAGGGACATGGCGACTATCCCACATGCATACACATGCATGTATGCAACGATTAATGATGACTAATGAACGAACCAAGCTAACATATAATTAGCTGAAGTATATGAGGGTTGTTCTATATCCTTGCTCCACGCATGCCAATTAGGATCCCTTGCGCTTCGCCCTTGCGCGTTCCTTGGGCGTGCTTGCGCGCGCGAGGGTTTCTTAAGACTATAGGGTTTGTTACTGTGGCTTGTTGACGCTTGGTGGCTTCGAGTCGAAGCTTCGGTTGCGGGTACAACAATGGGGCTTCAAGGCTCAAGATGTCAGAACCTAATTTTCAACAGTTCGCGACTCTGCTACCGCGGCTTGCAGAATTTAGGAACGAGAGCGCTTACTCCAGAAGCGGAACGTCCTTGGTTTGGGTAGGGTTTTGTTTAGGGACTATAGAGTTTAGGGCTTAGGGTTTACGGGGGGTTTAGGGTTTAGGGCCGTTTAGGGTGTAGGCCGGGTTGCATACAATGCTGCTGAGTATCACTCTTGAGTCAACTTTAACAACAAACCTTGCGCATAGCTTGCGCACACCCTTGCGCGCCCTTGCGCGCGATCGAAAGGGTGTGCACTTTTTAAGCGACCGAGTTTTCGCTAATCGCCCTCCTGGTATTGTCACAAGAGCTCCCCAAAAAGAACAACGCTCATATTAAGATGTAACCGACCGTCCCTCGCCACCTGGCCGATCTAGCCAAACCCCAGTCCTTGAATGGAGCGGAATGCTCGACGAACTTTCGTCCAGCGGCATCCTGCCAACACTCGCATGGCTGTCGGGGTGCCCTACGAAGTTGCTAAGTGCACCCTGGAAAGTGCTGGAAATACTGTGCCAATCTGGAAAACGGCATGCCCAGTCCGTGAAGATGACACGGGTGAGGCTGGTGTCTTCCAAGTCGTCGTGTACCGGGCTCGCGCTAGAAGAGCAGCCCATGATGCCTTGCGAAATCTGGAATTGTAGAAGCTTTACAAACACAGCCCTGCCCTCATCTACGTGCAGCCATAGAAAAGGTCTACCAGCCCACCTGGACGACGGTGCGCAGGCCGGAGCAGAAAAGGGAAGGAAAGAATGACAGGACAGTGTGTGCTGAAACGGCTCTGCAGAAAAGACCGACTACAGCACATGCCGCACATGGAATTAATGTGACCCATGACCCCTGGCATCAAGATGCTTTCAATTGACATCGTCGTCCAACTGGTCAAATCCGGCCCGAACCCCCCAAATCATCTTGCTGCATAAAAACCCTCTTCGAATTCCACAAAAACCATTAAACCGAGCTAAACCACAGTCTTCAAAAAATGGAAGAAACGGCCTTCGTCAGCCTTAGCACCTCCATCTCGATGGGCTTCTCCAGAGTTTCCCGGAAGGCCAAATCCACTTTAGCAGCCTGGTGCTCCGATTCTCTCACCTTTAAAGAGTCCACGTACCCAAATAGGGCTCCTGTAAGGGTACCATAAGGGTTCCTTTAAAGGGATCCATGAGGGATCTTTTAGGGTTCGGGGTATAAGGATCCACGTACCCAAATAGGGCTCCGTTTTTAAAGGGATCCATTATCGATCTATACGGGTTTGGTGTACAAGGATCCATGTACTCAAATAGTGCATACCTTGGCCTTAAAGTACCCCCAAAATATGGGTACATTGGGCCCAAAGTATATACATGGACCCTTAGGGTCCGGGTTGCAGAAGGCGTGAAACAGAGAAGGGTTCTTTAAGGGTTTAGGGTTTAGGGTTTCAGATGGGGTGAAACATATCAGTCAGTTATAAGTTGGGCTCTCGAAGGCTTTATCGACTAGGGTGTGGAAGCACTATACAACTGTACAAGGGCCTTGGGAGAGTACGATCAGATATGGGGTATGGTTTTTATTATTAGTATCCCCCTAATAAAACCCAAAATATACACTCACCTACTCCTAAAAGGAGCCCTAACTACATTCACCAAAACGGTAATATAAACCCAACTTCATATAAACTTCGAATTGGGGGGGGCCTCGGGCTCGAGGCATTCGGGCTTGGAGTTTGGGGTTAAAGGGAACTCCAGAAAGTTGGAATATGGTTTCAGGGTAGGATACCCTATAATTTACCATAAAGGGTTTAGGAATGTTTAGGATAATCATATTCCAACTTTCTGGCTGTTACTGTAAGGGCTGCGGGCTGCACATGTTTTGTGAGCTCCTGACGTTAAAGCTGTCTCAGACAAGAACCACCAAGAAGTCAGCTGTTTTCTTTTCGAAGTCTGGGTCCAATTAAGGCTTGCAATGTTAACTGTTGGGTTTGTGGGCTAGGGTTTAGAATGAAGGGTATCTGTGGCCCCTAAACCCTAAACCCTAACCCCACAACTTCAGTGCACACTCATCAAGAGTGAGCCGGACGTTCTTGCTTCTGCAGTTCGAAAGGCCAATTGCATTTTAAAACCCTAAACCCCCTAAACCTCTAACCTTAAACCCGAACGCAAACCCCAAATCCTAACCCTAAACCCCCTGAACCTCTAACCTTAAACCCGAAACAAAACACAACTTCAGTGTGCAAAATGACCTGCAGTCTCCATTGTAGTTCCTTTTTTGGGTTACCTTATATATAGGAACCTTAGTATATAATTCGTTAAACCAAAAAGAGGAACTCCAATGGAGACTATGGGGAGTTTTGAGGTTAGAACCCACAAAGGCCTCGGGCGAGGCTGACTTACTTGGAGGTTCATGGGTAGTTGTAAGGGTTCCTTTAAGGGTCCCTTTAAAGGAATCTATAGGCATTCTACAAGGGTATAGGGTTTAGGGTCTACTTGGAGGTTCATGGGTAGTTTTAAGTACGGTTGTAAGTAGGATAATTATGGTTATAACCTATGAATGTTGGGGACTTATAACCCCACTTATAACTACCCATGAACCTCCAAGTAGGTCCGGTTGACAGGTCGTCTTAGCAGGCTAGACTTTGAAGTAACCCTGGAGAAAGAAGTACGGACGTTTATTTCATAATGGCTCCTTTTAAGGAACAGGTACCCAAACAAAAGTATTCAAGTATGGTACTCCAAACCCAGCTAAGGTTTAGGGTTTGGGGTTTCCGCAGTCTGGCTTCTTACCAGGATGCGTCATGTGAAGATCGAAGGGGCCATTGCAGATCCCATCTGAAAAGTCTTACCAAGCTCTCAATGAGAACTCTGGGGACAAATCTAAAAGTTCCCTTATCTAGTAGGGGCAAGCCGCGTTCTCTGGGTGTGGAAATCTCCGGTCTTGCATCACATGGGGGGCTTAATAAGTTAGAACAGCGTGCGGGGCTACATTATGCTATAATTGTACCAAGTAGCCAGGCTTCTACATGAAATCTAAACCCACGTCACAACTAAATCTGAAAAGCCCGAAGGAACAACCAGCGTTGTGCGAATTCGGCTGCTCCCATTGAAACCAAGCTGAGCCTTCGCATGCGCGGACAAGTCAAAGCAAGCCCGGTCGGCAATGCCCACGCACCTTAGTGTGGGTCTTGAGCGAGCTACCCAGGGAGCCCAATACCCCCTTAATTAAGGAATATAGCTTAACTCATAATCTGAAGCCAAATATAATTTAAGCCATATTCCTTAATTAAAGGGTGTTGGGCTCTCTGGGTAGAGGCAGGTGGATTAGAGAGGCTTTTGGGTACTCGTTTTGGTTCAGCTATTACACCTTTCGGCTACTGGGAGACGTGGAATGAGAGCGGGGAGATGCCCGTAAACCGTGAACACTAACTGCAGCAATGCAGCTGCTGACTGAAGGTATATAACTTAGAGGGTCCATATACACTACTATTATGGTACTCGGTTACCAAAACCATAATAAGGATGGTCTTTCGGCACCTAATTTCAGAATTGTCGTGCATATGGACCCTCCAGGTAGACTAGACCCAGGAGTAACCCAGGTAATAAAAAGGGTGCCCTTTTTGGTTTAAAGGGGGCTTATATGGGAACCTGAACCCTACAAAAAGGGAATAAGGGCCTACTCTGGGTCCAGGTAAAAGAAGGTCAGACGGAAGCGCTCTCTGCTACCCGGAATGCCCCCAGTGCAGTCAAGAACGAGTACTGTAGGGGCCATAATAATTTGGAATTGGTTTTTTTGGGTCATAGTTACCGTAATTATAATAAGGACCCCCCAACATAGTATTGGTAATTATGAAGTCCCCTATATTAGGGGTTTAAAACAGTAGTCCGGGCTTCACGAACCGAAGCTCTGAACACAAAATCTCTGGAGACAGCTCCTTGGGCGACTGGCTCCAGCCAGCCATAGCAGGTCTCGATTTCTGCATCCCAACCTTGGGTGCAGCCGGCTTCGATTCAATATGGCGTTTGGAAGGAAATCTGACCCTGACTCGTCCTGGCGGAGGTGTTTTCACACCTGAGGCTGGAGCAACCCATCTGCAATTGTCTGCCATCAGCTATGTTCGGGGCTGAGAGGAGTTGGTCTTCTCAAACATTACCGGTTTCGCCTTGACTGTGAAACAATGATACTTCCATCACACCCTATGAACCCAACGCATATCAATGAATCTTTATCACGATGATTGCGACCAGCAGCACCAAAACTACTGCTCCTGCCGTTCTCAGATCATACATGGCTCTCGACATGGAAACGCGATCTGTCGCTTCTCCGTGTCTGTTTTCGTCCTTCGGTTACGAAGCCTGTAACATGTATACATACAAAGGCAATACACTAACTGCTGTTGCTTCGAAGCATAGCAAAAGCAGTCAAAACCCACAACAGCAATTCGAATGTGAGAAGCATTGCACGAACTCCAACTGCCATGCAGCTCCTGACTTCAAGCTGGCCTTAACCCTAAAGCCTAAACCCTAAACTCCTAAAAGCAAACCGTCCTTGGTGCAGGGCAGTCGGTGGCATAGTGGGCCATCTCCGTGGGCAAGTGCTGACCTTATAGTCTCCATTGTAGTTCCTTTTTTGGTTTACCAAAAACTATATTATAGGATCCTAACCACAAAACTGGCAAACCAAAAAAAGGAAATACAATGGAAACTATAGGTGAACTCGCAACCTGAACCCTATACTTCTCCCCACACCCTGAGTCTCTGCGTCTCGATCCATAACCTTCGAACAACGCTCTCCTCGCATCCCTAAACCCTAAAGAAGCACCCGATGCAAAGCTTGCTTTTCTCTTTGGTCTGCCTGCACTTGTCCCGGCCTGAACCACGAAGTTTCAAAACGATCTATCCGTCGACCTACCTAGCTATATCTAAATTTGTTTTGGTCTGGATATCTGTAAATAAACAAATAAACAAATATTCATGTGTGTATAATTGCATAAATAAATAAATATATATATATATATATACGATTCGGTATATGGTGAATAAAAACCTATGCATCTATCTACCTACCTATCCGTCTATCTATGTACTTGTCCATCAGTCCATGTTTCCATCGATCTATGTACCAATCGATCTATCTAACTATCGATCGATCTACACGCAAACATGACAGAGAGAGAGAGAGAGAGGTTTCCAGGGCGACCTCAAACGTAGAAACAGATGATACGCAAATGCGGATGTTAATGCCAAACCCGCGGTAAGACCCTGCGAACGTCAAGCCAAGTCAATGGCATAATAATAGAATAGGCTGTTGGGTATGTTATGGGATACTTACTGAAAGACTTGAAAGAAATATCCATGCATGAAACCTAAAGCTTTTATTGCACACAATTAAACCGACAACCCTAAACAAAAGTCCTACAACACCCTCAGAATACCATCGAACAAACAGCTGCAAACTCTAGGTTCCCTTCAAGTTCCGTAAGGATCCTTTGTACCCTCCCCCCCTGAACCACTCGCTAAACCCTAAACCCTAAGCAAATTTTCAGGCCCTGGCGGAAGCGGCAATGCTCCGCTTTGATGCCCAAGCTCACGAGGAAGAGGTAGGTCCTTTGGGGCTGAGAGGGCTTCGGGGTTTAAGATTTAGGGTT